ACATAGCATAGACTACGAGTCCATACATAAGGCAATCTTCCTTCAGACCGACCTTAATAGTCCCAACAGAACATTATAGGCGTAGGTACCGTTTCCATTGGAGAGAGCTTTGTATCACAGCACTTACCTAGTGTTTTTTTACACATAAGTTATCTCCCCTCCTTATTTATTTTATTTCAATTTTCCTTTTTTTGTAAGAGTCTACTATCTGGTTCAATCTCTTTCGCTGTTCTTGTAGCATAAAGAGATTTGCAGGTTTCCCTCGGACTATTTTTACGAAGAAAAGCTGAAAACAGACAAATCCGTGCCAACCAATGACCCAATTTTACGGCCGTCTTTTTGGCCTGATCCAAATGTTCCCCTGGCATTTTGCCATGTGGAGGGCGAAGAGGAAAGTACCGCTATTAAGACAACACATAGCAGTGAGCAGTCCAAGTCGAATCAGAAAGAAGTCCGAAAAGTGGTAAATAGCATTAATTCGCTTGCATTAAAAGTTGTACGAATAGGTTGAGCTATACATTGTTTCGAATTAGAATTATTTCATTGAACCATTGACATTTTCTTTTCATAGCTATTTTTACTTAATAAGGAGTTCCAAACAGCAGGTTGCAAAATTTGATTTAAGAATGGAATTAAATTGGTAGATATGCGAATCTCTCATAAGAACAGGACAAAATTCAGAATGACTTTAAACCTAAGAAAACAAAAAAAACGCTTTTGCTTCTTTGCCGCCAAAATGAAAAACAAGGGGTGCGCCGAAACCACTAAAAGCCTTATGGTAAGAAAGTCCTACAACAATTGAGAAATCAACGGCTTCTTGAACTACTTAAACTTTATCTAAGACCAATTGTATTTCAAAGTCTCTGCAAATGTAACTGATTTATATGAAAAAAATTAAATCTATTAAATGTGGTTAGCTAGTACTTTTTCTTAACGCCAGGTCCACGTTGCTAGATGCTTGGTTTTCAAAAATGGCGTGTCCCCGTCAGATGTCGTTATCTTATCGCCTTACAGGGAACAACGCGAGAGAATAAGCAAAGCTCTGGAAGGAAATATAATATCCAAAGATATCCCTGTCACAACCATCACAAAAAGCCAGGGTAACCTAGTAATTTAGACTTTGTTTTCTTAGCCATTACATTTCCTTCATTTCTACATTCAACGGGAATGCCGTAGACTTGTGCAGCTTACACCCTTATCATCAGCTGTGCATCTGTTATTGTTACTGTTTTGCTACCATGAGAGTTGAATTTTGTTACGTCTTGTTCTTATATCCACTTTACTAGGTCACCTCCTGGAACAATTACAGCTATAGCAAACATTAAAAATATGCCGGTAACCGAAATGTGTTTGTGAACAATACCCTGCTTCAATAAAAATGAATGATGTTAGTCTTCCCATTTCGTATGAGGGAAATACAATGAATTAATTAGAACTCCACTTTTAGGCTTGGCTAAATCAATGCGTAGTCGACCAATTTCAAGCGTCAGATTATGGTCACTACTCATTAGATACTTTTGAAATACTTAAGCAATTTTGAGGAATGTGCTTTCACTCCTAATATTTAACAAATTTCATGTCACGCAGGAAGTGAGTGGGATTATGTAATCCTATCTTTGGTTCGCTCGCTAAATAAAGATGAACTCGAACCAAATCCATCTCCGCATTGGCTTCGTGAACATTTGGGATTTTTGACGGACGAGCATCAAATTAACGTAGGACTCACGAGAGCGCGAAAAGGGCTCTGTATCATTGGTATGAGAGATATTTGTCATGTTCCTTCATTTATAACTAAGCAATTCCTTGGAAAGTTTAGGCATACACAAGTAATATGGAGGAGAGTTTCAGGGTCACTAAAATCACTGAATGAAGCTAAACGATGTGCTGAGCTGACATCGGCTATTTCTTGCAATTCACATCAGTTTTCCGCCGTTTTAAAGAACTATAACGAGTTTATCTTTTAAACGACACCGAAATTAACTCAAATTAGGAAAGTACAAATTCAATCAGGCGTTGGCGGCCCAAGAAGCTCGATGATTTAACAAAAATAGATATGAATATCTCCAACCGTCACAGTATATCTGAAGTGCTGGCCACTTTTCCCATTTTTTTTTCTTCAGTATTTTTGTAATCAATTTTGTTTTCATTTAGGTAACAGGAACCTACTGGTGCTCCATCCCCTGTGGCAGAAATTGGTAGAATCCTACGAGCGCAGAAAATGCATGGTTGATGAGTCTACCAGGCCTCGAAGCTGAAGCAATTTCAATTCAATTACTCACTGTTGATAATGTCAAACATAGTCTGGATAACTCTTGAAGATTATTCAAGCTAAGCTTTCTTGTTTTTTTTGGTTAAACCATTTTTTCAGGAAAAAATTAGAGAACGTTAAATCACTCTTTTAGATATAATTTAGTAAGTACATCACTCAGATCTAAACTGCATCAAAATATGTAATATCACTCTAAAACGCGTCAAATGAACAGGATAGTCTTCTTGCCTCTGTTAAGGGGGATTCTGATCCATCCGAAACCGAATGCGCTACTCCTTGTTGAAAAAGGATTCGGGCTACTGAGAGTGGAACGTATTAATATTTAATTTCATCAAATCAAATTTGCCTGTGTAACTCGAATTGGTCAAATATAGAACACAACATAGATTATAATGTATTGAAAATCCAAAAAAGGATAGAAAGTCTTGATACTTGTACAAAGGGGGAGAAGTTTCTAAAATATTTTTTTCCACGGATTATTGATGATGTGGGTACGTGGTGCAGTGCAATATTTCATCCAGAGGGATCAGTCAAACGGTTTGCTTTATAAATAAATTGAAAATACACGAAGCTTTTGAAAAAGGCTTTAAATGCTTTTGAAATTCAAAGTTAGTCAGTAAAAAAAATATAACTTATTTTGCAAAAGGTTTCAATTTGAATGAGAATGTTGGTTCAGAGGTTAGTTTTGTTTAGTAGTTAATTTTGCTCATATATTTTTCCAAAAATGCTTTTCAAAATACACCTCAAATAAAACATCGAAATAATACCTCAAAAGTGAATTTAAAAGAAAAAGATGCGAACTAAACGATATTAAAACTCAACGTACAAGGAACTTGATCAGGAACAAGGTTTTCATGAGTTTGATGCTTAAAGTTCCTCAACAAAGCCTTTGCCTTAAATCCTCACTCTGCTCTCCTTGCCCTTCAAGTCCCCTCTTTCCCATATCCTCTCCATTTTCAGGCTACATTACCAAAGACGAGACAAATTACTGATAGCATCAAATGTATCCCGGTTTATGGGCTAACAAACTTAGAATATTGTCTCAGTTGGCACAGTTTGTCTCATCTGTGTTAAAACGGAAGCGGCTAAAGCGATATTCGATTTCTGAGACAAGTTGAATAATATATCTATACTAATTGTTTTTTACTTTAATATAGAGGACTAACGCGTATATAGCGCCATTAACAATATTCTACTACTTTATTGTTTAAACAAATAGATTCGACGTTGCTGTGCGTCTGGTTTGCAGCAGATCATAGAGACCGTCAAAATGCGATAAGAATATCCGTGACACACGAGGTTGTTGTCACTTTTTTCTCCCCACATTTTGACCTCAAGTCATACCATGATTTATCAATGAACAGACGCATCGCATCATGGAATCTAATTTTTTTTCAATGAATCACTAAATGTAGCAATACCGTGATTATTTCTTCTTTCTTTTTCTCTGGGACCAGGTATGCGGAAAACGGTGCACGTGAGCAGCGGCTGTTTTACGAAATCTTTTTGTATAATAGTATATAAATAAGCTATTTTTTGCGGGGCTCTGCGAAACTATCAGGCAAATTTGAGCAACACAAAACAAAGGGAGAAATTAAAAGTACATATCGAAATAAGATATTCACATTGACTCTTGGTTAGCCTAGTCATGTGTTCAACAATTCAGCCTTCGTTTAAAGGCCGGCTTATCATCTAATAAAATATTGCTATATTAACTTGTCTGCAATTATTTGTTAAACATAGTTTCTTCACCGCGCCGGCCACAGGTTTACGTAAATTTCCTTTCACTTAAGGAGAAAATTTGCATAACGCACCAGTAGACAATAACACTGTCGATGTCTCCTGGCAAAAGTAACGAAAGTGTTAATTTTGGCGATGAATGACCTCACCTATTTCGAACGTTTTTAGCAATGTTTTGATAACAATCATAAGTGGATAGCTGTGTTTTTCTTGTGTTGGTCAAATGCGGTACTGTTTACCGCAAAACCTGCTGGAACATGTCGACCAATCGGGTCAAGAGGGAAGTTCCTAGAAAAGATACCGGAAATACATACTTTTCTCCGAAATATTAATGACCTGAAATTTTTCTTCGACGCGGTTGCTTTTTTGTTATCCTGTAAAACTATGGAAGGCTTCATGCTCTCTTAAAAATTCCAGGCTTTCTGAGCTTGAAGAACTCAGAAGAAAAGACGTCGATAAAAGGTAGGAAAATCTGAACAACTTATAATTATACGGCAGTTGTTATGACTGAGTTTCCTTGCATGTCGTTACACAATGTAGAGAAGAACTATATTGCTTGAATGAAAAACGTCTGCGATGCGACTAAGTCCTCAAACACGAAAGCTAGGTTTGAACAGGAGGAACTAATAAACTAATACTATTTTTTTTACTTAGATATCGAACTTTAACGCTCAACTCGTGTTATTTTATAGACCTGTGTAATTTTTCATATGCAAATATGGCCGGGTAAAGATCGAACGCGTGACGAAATGGTATCAGAGCTTACTAGGAAGCCTAGATCTTCTCTTTTTAGATTGTTAGTTGTTATTTGAGGTTACAGTTTACACCGACGGTTCACTGCGAGATAACATGATACACAATTTTTCACCTGTAATTCATTTGTATGAGGCGGAAGGGAACAACCTGGATTAATATTATATGCTTAATTTAAGAATAATCTTTGCGAAAAAGTGCATATGATATGAAAATAGAGCTGATTTGATAAACGTATGACTAACCTCAGGAAAATGTAGAAATAAAACGAACTAAGCACGTAATATTGATTGAAATTTATTTTGAATAATTTTCAAAAGAAACACCTTGCGCATGCTCAGCGGCTTCTAATGGCGAAGGGAAGGTAGAATCGGAAAATTCAGGTATGTTCTGTTTAAACGGATTATTATGTTCCTTGTTTAGCAATCCTTACTAACTGGCACGTAGTTATGTGCACTATGACTTCAAAAACATGAACGTATGATGCATTTTTATTGATAGATAATCTACTCGAGTTACGAATGTGCTTTGACAGGAATTTAAACTGCTGATGAATCGGTTTACAAGACCTTGTTGCCTTAAGCATTGATCATCGTTGCTTTAAAAGCTCTCTTAAATATTAATCATAGCGTTACTACATTTTAAGATGGTCAAGATTCCTCCATATTTAGTACAAGGTAATTACTTCGTTTTCTTTAAAATTGCCTTCTTGAGGGGGGCATTGGGGCCTATTAGAAACCGCAAAACCGTAGAAAAAAGTCACTAAAACCGAAAAACCGGAACAAAAATCGACCAAAACCGAAAACCGCATGCAAAACTGTCAAAAGCGATACATTTTCACATCCCAGTTATTAAAACCCAGATCGATCCGTTACAGTGGTGAAAAGTGGAGCTTATAGAGTAAACTACACTAATTTCATCACAGTATTTGTGAATGCCATTGACTTGGCATTCATATCTTCTAGAATCTGCTTAAATTATAGGCTTTATTTCAGCTGTTCTCTCGAGGACCTCGAGCGTGGTCTCTGCGGACTCAGCAGCTAGTAATGGAGCCCAGTTAAATTCGGGAAATTCGCACAAAATTGCGTTTAGCGGGTATTCGAGATCAGTGGAGGCGCGTTACTGCCGCTCAGATGGAACCCAAATAGGTCAAATAGGGAAAACTGAAAACCGCATCATATATCAAATCCGAAAACCCGTTAGTATTTTTCGCGAAAACCGAAAACCAAAAGCTAAAAAACGAGAATTGGGATCTCTAATGGCGCAGCAAAATAAATGTACTAAAGAAATACTCGATCGCGACATTAAAATTGACCCATTCACATGCAAGCCGAAGTCTCCATGTTGCCAATGTACGTGCGCTGAAAAAAGGGACGCAGTTGATTAGATTTTCAGACAAAGCTTGCTTGGCAATCTCACTTCGTAACCTTTGAGTTATGATTCTCTGAGGCAGCTCTGTAGCTTCTCACGATTCAATTTTTGGGGATCCGGTGAAATAAGAGAACTGAATTGGCGGGATAATTAAACTAATGGTTTATCTCAGAAGAGCTCAGAACGCTTTAATTATCGTGATCTGACGTATTATTGAGCTTATCATAAACATAAAAAGCCCAGCTTGACCAAGCTACAAGTATTTACAATCGGCTAAAACATTTCAGAGCATGAAATTTAGAATATCATGTACTCTGGTAAAGGATACAGAGATGAACTATTTTGTTATTCTAGCAATATCAACAAATGTTTCCT